GAGTTATCTGAACTTGATTTAGTTTTACTTGATGTTTCTACCCTTAAGATTCAGAGGAAATGCTTATTTGAAAGATTTTCCTTTCTGACATGTTAGATTTAACAACCTTTTAGATGCTGTAAAATAAAAGAAAAAAATTACTATATTATGCTTAATGTGCTTTGAAACAGTGGATAAAATTATTCAAGCACAAGCGCTTTTAAAACACATGGCAAATCAACAGTATGATTTTTGTCATGTTATTCCCCCCAGTTGACAATTTAGATACCTTCCAAGTCTGTTAGCTTAACGGGAAAGCACTGGTACTCAGGACCTTTGGAAGTCAGACTTTGTTTTCATTTCTAAATACAGAGACTTAGCTGGCATTAAAGGTTGAGCTTTAAGTCTTCTTCTGAAGTAATGCAAGTCAAAACAAACACTATCCACAACTGTTCTTTATTGTTTGGCTTGCCTTAAAACTGTGAAGAAGAAAGTGAATTTGATTCACTGATAGCAAAAGGTATTTTGCTCTAAAGTCATTTCTATTCTGGTATTAAATTTTACTCTGGCATGGTGATCATCTTCAAGAAACCATTTGGATTTAGTCCTTTATTTATTTATTTTTTTAATATATTACTTTGCTTTCTATTTTTGAATTCCTGGCATAAAGTCTGATATTTAATTAACTTATATCCTATTTGTTTTAGATTGGCAGGTGAAATTTAGGCCCCAGTGAAATAAATAAATCTCTCCAGATTCTTTGCAATTCAAGTACAATATTTGTTTAGTGCCTATCTGAAAAAACGGTTACTGCACTACTGTGTATTATAAATTACAAATCCAGCAGAGTAAAGTAATACAAATAGGCCATATATATCCATATGTTCAGCTTAAAGATGGGGAGGGGAAATATTAAACAAAGTGTATTTCCTAATAAACCTGTATAAAAGTCACTCACTGGGTCTGTAGTTGATCTGACATCAGCATCTCTATACTTCTGTAATTTTCTCTCGTATTTTAGTACTTAGCCAGGTTAATAATAAGCTGTACTATGATCTTCCAACTTCATGATAAAATATTCAGATCTTTCATTTTGGATTTTGTTGTTGTTGTTTGAGAGGGAGTGGGTACACTTAACATATTAGTCTGTGTTTCTATTATAAGGCTGCCCAGAGTGGTTGTGGATGGCCCATCCCTGGAGATATTTAAGGTCAGATTGGATGGGGACCTGGCAATCTGATCTAGTACTTGGATCTAGCGATTGGCAACCCTGCCTGTGGCAGGGGAGTTGGGACTTGATCCTTGAGGATTTCAACCCAAGGCATTCTATGGCTCTGTGATAAGTACTCCAAATAATTTTTGGGTTAGTCTAAAATAACTCAAAGAAATAGATTCAGTATAGTGAGTCAGTTTTTGAAGGATTCTTTTCTTTCTTTTCTTTTTTTTTTTTTTTCAGTTTGACTACTTAATGCTCTTTCTACAACACTTTTTCTCAGTTGTATGTGCTAATTGTTTTTTCTAGCCTCTCACTGAAACATGCTGTAACCCCAGCACATTTGCTAATGCACCTTACTTGCTCTCCATATTGTCAGGGAAGAGTGAGTTGCAAAAGGGCAGGTTTGGCAGTCCTCTTTCAGGATAGGGAATCATAGAATGGCACAATGGCTTGGGTTGGAAGGTACATTGAAGACCATCTAGTTCCAACCTCCTGCTATGGGTAGGTTTGCCAACCATTCAAATCAGGCACCAGATAAGGTTGCCCAAGGCCCCATCCAACCAGGCCTTGAACACTTGCAGGGATGGCCCTTCAGAAGGCTGTTGTGGTCTTTGAATGGAAGCTTAGATACACCAGCATTCCAAAGAATCCTCATAAGTCAAGGAGAATTTTTGTTTTTTGCATTGTGATTCTTACACAATTATTTTATGTTTTTACAGTGCTTGTTTATAAGTCAGTAACTTCCTTGCTAAGTGTCCAGTGTTCACAGATATTTCTGCAAGCCTGATCTGATTGTATTACTGCTTTACTTACAAGTAGAGAGAAGTTTCTGTAATGACTGAGGTTACCTATGTAAGTTGGTTTGGTTTTGGCTTTTTTTACATATAGATTTTGTAAAAAACTGTGGAAATTGCTATGAGATCCTAGAACTGCTCTGCCCAGTGCTTATCTTACTTCAGTTCAGTTAAATATTAGTTACATTTGTTTATATCAGTTGTACTGTGAAGTAATTTTTTTGATCAAATCAACAAATTAAATGCTAATTGATATGTTTCTCCAAGTTACACAGTTTGCTCAGCAGCCCCTAGTAATTTTTGAAGACCTGTTAAGACCTTTTAGCATTGGATATATCAGGGAGGAGAAAAATAATGATGCAGGCTGATGTTCTGAAAGGCACTTTGAGTTGGATAAAATCACTCCAATAACAGTGGTCTCAGATTCTTCTAAAGAAAACAGTTGCACATTTAAACAAAGCCTAAAATTTGCTTTCTGACCCTTTAAATGTTCTGGTAAGGCTCATTATAGTAAAATTAGAGTGTCAATTGAGAAATGGAATATTGACAGTAAAATATATTTTTTAAAATTTTTATTTACCTACATCATTTACCACTAAAATACACAAAGAGAATGTTAAAATTTTTAGTAATACAACTATAATTTTGTAAACTTTTATCATTCTTGATCGTGAGAACTTTGAGTGCAAGCCTTCTGGAGATGCACTTAGTTTGATAAAAGATAAAAATTGTTTTTTTATCTTAACATCTGATTGCACATAGTAGATGACATTGTCTACTGGGGAAGTTGGCAACCCGTGGCTTGGACAGGTACACTTTTTACTGGGCAAAGAGCTGGGCAAGCCCAGAGAGTAGTGGTAAATGCAGTTAAATCCAGCTGGTGACCAGACATGAGTCATCTTTCCCAGGGGTTGGTACTGGGGCCTGTCCTCTTTTGATGACCTGGACAAGGGGATTGAGTGCACCTTTAGTAAGTTTGCAGAAGACATCAAGTTGGGAGGAAGTGTTGATCTGCCTGAGGGAAGAAAGGCCCTACAGAGGCTGGATAGCTGGGCTGAGGCCAATAGGATGAAGTTGAACAAGACCAATTGCTGGGTCTTGCACTTTGGCCACAAGAACCCCAGGGAATGCTGCAGGTTTGGGGCGGAGAGGCTGGAAGACTGTGTGGAAAAAATGGACCTGGGGGTGCTGGTCGATGCTCAGCTGAACATGAGCCAGCAATGTACCTTGGTGGCCAAGAAGGCCAATGGCATCCTGACTTGTATCAGACATGGTGTAGCCAGCAGGAGTAAGGAAGTGATAGACCCAGGTTGCTGCTCCTTAGAGGGAGGCTGCTAGCGGGAAGTTGCCACTTCCTGCAACAACTGCATGCTCTTTCTGGCAGCAACAGCTCTGCTAGGCCCCTTGCTCCTTCAGCAAGGCTAGCAGCCCAAGGATGGATGGTGCGTGCAAGAAGCAGCTGTTACAAATAGAAGAAATGGAAGGCAGGGTTATTTTTATGGGAGAGAGTGAGGAAGGGTTAAGGGCATCCTCCCACAGAGTGTGGAAGGTGATGGTCTTGTGTGGGGGTGCAAGGAGTATCTGGAAACTCTGGAAAGAGAGGGGAAAGAGAACCATAGAAGTTAGATATATATACAATAACTGCTGGATTGTGAGAATCAAGGCTGTAATGAGAGAATGAGTCACTTTTATTGTATTGTACTATTGTATGGGGAATTAGCCTCAGTGTATCAACATATGTGGATATGTATGACTCTTCTCTATTAAAAGGAAAAATATTGATTAAAGGTAATGTTCAGCAGTCTCAGAGATTAGTTGTGGTATAAGGAGGATCAAGAGAGGAGAACATTTTATAGAATTTGGCTTCTGTTTAAATTATGTGTTGTGTGTCTGTAGTCATAAGATGTTCTTTAAGATTATAATCTTCTACAAAGTCTTGGTAGGAGTTTAGACTTCTCAGTGAATGGAGATTTATGGTCATGATTCAGGAGAAATTGCACAAAAACACAATATGGAAGCTATGTGCAACATCATATGGAATCATACAATGCCATATTTGCATGACAGTATTCCTGGCATACTTTATAATAAGAATTCTTACTTCTGTTTTCCTTTGTATAAACACAAAGTTGCATTAGACACTTCCGATTAACCATAGGTCATGGGCTCTGTCTATCAGATGTGCTCAATGGAATGGAAGCTATGATTGCAGATTGTTCTTTTTTTTTCCCCTCTCTACATTTGGAATTTTTTTTTTTTTTTTTAATAAATTTAAATCAAAAGACACTGAGGTCATCTAGTCTGCACTCCAGTGTATTACAAGTCATTACATTTCATCACTTACTGCTATATCCTGAGTTAGCCTAGAGTATTACCAGACTCAGGGGACTAAATTTTTGTTTGTCATTTAATGCTGAATAGCAGGGAGTTGATTAGAAAAAATATGCTCAGATAAAAATACTTGTTTTCTGTGTCATGTTCTGCATAACATCTTGAGAGGATGCCATCTGCTTCTGAATAAATAAATAAACTGGATTCCTATTAAAAGAGCTTCCTTGCAGAAAAGTAGCTTATGTTTCAGCCATGTACACATAGCCTGGCCCTTCTACGGTACCCTCCAAACACTTACTTCTGGCAACCTCCACTCTTCCCACAAAGATCCATGCAAATTGCTCAATGCCATAGTATGCTGACAATATAAAAATGTGTAGGCTGGTTATTAAAACGTCTGCTGGAGTCATGCTGTTAAAAGGCTGTCTCTCACTGTTAGCAAATTCTACAGCGTCCTTTTCAACTACGTAATAGAGGTGAGTTCAGGCAATCCCTTGCTAAACCTCCTGCAGCATAATCTGTGGACTTTCTTCTGCATGTAGAAGTTGACTTGGCATAAGCAGTTTTATGAATACAAGAGAAGTATAGATTTTCTTCTTTCTGTATTTTTTTGAATGAGAAATGGTTAGAGGCGTTTTGTTTTCATGTGGCCTTTTTGTGTTTTGTTTTGGTTTTGTTGCAATTTTCCATAGAGTAGCATATGAGCAGAGGCATTTTTTAATTTTACATGTCAAACGGAATGACTCTTGCAGGGCTTCCAGAGAAGGGAGATTCAGTGTGAATAGATTTTGAGATTGAAGGGCTCACAAACACTGCATTTTTTCTTTAATCTAGGCTCTGGGTGTTCTGCAAAAGTAAGGACGTTATTTAAATTTCAAATATTTGGAAGTCATTTTCGGGAATATCCTGAACTTCCCTGTGCTGAACACTCACAGGAATGAGAAAGCTTCAGACGAAAAGTAATGAGGTTGTTTTTCCTGTAGCTGAAGTGTCTTCCCTAATTTTGTCTACTTTCCTTAATTTTGTTGAATGCAGCTCCCTTGAATCTTTGTTCCCTACTATTGACTGGAGGGGAAGAAGAAACACAGCCATAGATTCACGTTAGGCAACCTAGCCCATGCCTTCTTTACTTATTCTCTCCATTTAACACTGTGGTTAAACATTAAGTAAAAGTGCTTCCAAGACAGGTTGTAGAATGTCTTTTTTTCTGCCCATCTTTTCCTCTTATCACCCCATGCTCTTGTCTGCTTATTTCTGTCTGTATCCTTAATTCATTCCAGCCATTTAAAGTAGGAGCTGAAACAAGGAGAAGTTGGGCTCAGGAGAACCTGTAAATTGGCACTGCTGCTTACAGAAGTGTACCCTTGATGTTTTTTGATATTCTTTTTTTTTCCCTGCTAAAAACATGTAATACAGTGGTGGAGACTGGTAAAGAACAGCTGGTTTCTTCACTGGGCAAAGGCTAGAGAATAAAAGACACAGAGATAATGCTGAGGTCCCCTAATTAACAATCTTTTAGATGTTTCTCTTAACTCCTGCACAAGATACCAAACTGTTACCTATTTCTTAGAAGCAAGTGGTATTACTAAGCAGTTTCTTCAAATGCAGGCAGTATGTAATCTATAAACATAAAAACCTTTGAACTGAGTTTTATATCTCTGGAAAGAATACTTCATATCTCAGCTAAGCTATTACAGAGTCTGTTTAATGGAGACAGACAAAGCAGAGACATTTAATGCCTTTCTTCTCTTCCATCTTCAATACTGATGATGGGCACCAGGACTCCTGGAGCTCTAAGTTGCATGACTGTGACTACAGTAACAATAAATTCCCAGCCAATCCCAAATTTGTGTAGCATTGGCTGTTTCAGCTCGATGCATGCAGTCTGTAGGGCCCAATGGAATTCATTTCAGGATACTCCAAGAGCTGGCTGATGTCATCACAAGAACTCCTTCAATTATTTTTCAATAATCCTGGGAATCTGGGGAGATCTCAGTCAACGGGAAGCTGGCAAATGCTATCCCAGTTTTCAAGATCCAGATAATTACAGGTCTGTCACTCTCACTTTGATTCCTTGCAAAATTATGGAAAAAATATTCTGGAAGTTATTGAAAAATACCTGAAAGTCAATGCATTCATTAGCCACAGCCAACATGGGTTCACGTGGGGGAAAGAAAGTCCTCTCTAACAAAACTGGTCTCCTGTTGTGTCCAGGTTACTCATCTAGTTGACAAAGGGAAGCCAGTTGATGAGATATGTGTTTAGATTACTGCAAAGCTTTCAATACTGTTTCTCACAGTATCTTTCTGAGCAAAATGTCCAGCATACAGATAGACAAAAACTGTGTGGTGAGTGAATAGTTAGTTGATGAGCTCAAAGTCTTATAGTAAATAGGGTTACATCATGCTGGTGGCCAGTCAACTAGCAGGGTTTCATTTTAGGGCTGATTCTCTTTCCAGTATTTCTGGAGGTATACTGGGTAAGTTTATGGAAAACACTAAATTGGAAGGAGATGTTGACTACCTTACAGTGAGATCTTGACAAATTGGAGAGCTGGACAATCACCAACTATATGAAGTTTAATGAGAGCAAGTGTTCGATTCTGCACTTCGGATGGGGCACTCCTGGATATGAGAACATCCCGGGAGATGAGTGGCTGGAGAACAGCCCTGTGGAAAGTCATCTGGGGATTCTGGTTGACGGCTAATTGAATGTGAGCCAGCAGTGTGCCTTGGCAACCCAAAAGGCCAACCATGCCCTGGCCCAGCACTGCTACTAGGCAAGGGAAGGAGTTATCCCTCTTCGTGCTGTGCGGCTACAGCTTGAACACTGGGTACAACTTTGGGTGCTACAATATAAAGAGGGTATAAAACTGTGAGAGAGCAACCAAAAGAGTGCTACAAAGATTGGGAAGGGTCTGAAAGGCAAGGTGTATGAGAAGGAGTGGCTGAGGTCTCCGGGTTTGTTCAGCCCAGAGCAGAGGAGGCTGAGGGGAGGCCTGATGACGGCTGCAGCCACCACAAGTGGAGTGGAGAGCTCTGACAGTGACAGGACCCAAGTGAACAGCATGGGGCTGCGTCAGAGGAGAATCAGGTCGGGAGTAACAGAGGGGTTCTTCACCAGAGGGAGGTGGGCATGGAACAGGCTGCCCAGGGCAATGGGCATGGCCCCTGTGCCAGAGTTGAAGGAGCTTTTGGACAGTGCTCTCGGACATACGGTTTGAATTTTGGATGGTACTGTGTGGAGCCAGGAGTTGGACTTGATGGTCCTTGTGGGTCCCTTCCAACCGAGGATATTCCACAACTTTTCTTAGCCATCCACACTCATCTTATTGGCAGCTGTATCCCTATGGATGAAGAGAATGAAAATAACTGACTTGAAACTTTGCTTCAGCCTAGAATTTTATAATTCAGAAGCAGCAGAATAAGACTTGGGGTCATTCGTTAATAAGATGTTTTGAAACTGCCTGAGGAGGAAAGATACCATTTGACACTCTAGATTAATGTGATAGCAGGTCACAGAAAGAAGCTAAACATTTTAAAAGGTAGTATTTAACATACAAATATGTCCCAGTTCTTTACTCAGCTCAATAATAGGATTAGTTGCTAAGATCTAGTAGGGAGTTCAATGAACAGAATGCATTAGGTTGTATGTGACTATTGAAAAAAGTTAGGTGATTCAGTCTTGCGTTTAACATTCTGGTTTTTTATTCTGTTTCTCAACAGACACCCTCTTAAGGGTTGCTTGGGGCTTGCTTACAGTATCTCCAAGACATGCTTGTTCTGTGCTTGACTGCCTCATTATCACAGAATCACAGAAGTTGGAAGGGACCTCTGGAGATTGTCCAAATCTCCTCTAATGCAAGTTCCCTACAGTAGGTTGCACAGGAAAACATCCAGACAGGCTTTGAATGTCTCCAGAGAAGAAGAATCTACAGCCTCTCTGGGCAGGTTGCTACAATGCTGTCTTTCATTCTTTTTTAACTGAATATCTAATCAGAATTTCCCTGGTTACAACATATTTCCATTACCTCTCATTCTAATGTGCACCTCCAAGAAGAGTGTGGTTCTCCTCCTCACGTATTAGAGGCACATTAGGTGCTACTTTCTAATGTGTCATGCTATCCTACATGGCACCATAAGAACCAAAATCAGAACAGTTTTTAATTTTGCTTGTTCACTTTTCTCTTCAGAAGTCTGTTTTTTAGGAGGAGAATAGGCAGTTTTTCACTTTTAATAATCTCCCACCTACCTCATCAAATTTTCAAATTAAGCTTGCAAACTGTGTTCAGACCGTGTTTTTGTTCCAGTATTGGTTACTGCTTGAGTCATTTGATTATTTGAACTTGTAGCCTCACAGTTTTGGAGAATTTGAGAGCTCAATAGAGCTCTATTTTAAAATGGTGTTACCAGATGGGAATTCCATGTTGTGTGTTCTGGAATCAGTTTAAGTCTTTTGTAAAGTTAAGGATTCCGTTGGTTCTGTCATTAGTGGAATGGATTTCTACCAACAGCAAGATGGTATGTGTTTACAGAATGCCTATTAGTTGAACACTTTCTCTCCATTTAAAAATAACTAGTATCTTAAGTTTAATAGCTGTGTAGAACAATGTGTGACTGAAGCAATAAAGCCTTTGCTCGTGTTATAATGGCACTGAATCCAGGATGACCCATGTGGAAATCTTACGGATGGTTTTAGAGCTACAAGTTGGACTAAAGGATATGTTGATCAGCTTCATCTCTGCTTGAACTGAGATAGAATAGATAGAGCAAGCCTTTCTTTTCCTCAACAAGGATTTTATAATCTGTTCTTAAAATATTTCCATAATGGGAATTAGACCATCTCTAACTCAGCCCTTTCTGCAATAGATTTTAATTGCTGCAGGATAAACCAATGCTATTCAGTACTGTTTCTTTCAACAAACAATTCACATATGACTTTCATCTGCTGTAGAACAACTATTGGAGATCTGTAGTTCTTTTTTCTACAGATTGAATATACACCATTCCTTTTATCTTTTCTCTTTATCTCATTTTCAGTTTTTTATCATTGTTCTTCAACTGTGAACTGTCCAAAGTATTTATCTTTAGATATGTTGCCCAAAACTGGGTTGTTTCAGCAGATACTTCACAAGGACTTAGTAGAATATATTATCTGCTTGCACATGTGAAATTTCCTTACCAGTGTGCCTCAGAATAGGGCTTCGCCCTTCTTGTTACATGATGCTGCTAACTGGTGTACACTTTACAACTGATCATAACTGGACAGACTTTTCTGTGTTCTGCTTCTTTGTTTCTGAACCCACAATTTTTCATGTATATTTTATTTTTATTCAGTAGGAGTAAAAATTTACTCCTCAAGATATCTTCCAAACTCAGCACTATAACCTATCTCTCTAAAAGCTTCTGGTCCTTTCAGTTTTATATAACCTGTGAATTTCATAAATATACTTTCTCTCACATCTTCCAAATCTTGAATCAAAAAATAATTATTAGAGTTGGTGCCTAGACAAACCTTTGCACTAGAGACTTGTTTTTAGTTTGATAATTCATAAATACTAATGTTTCTGTATTTGTTTTTTCAACTTTGTGCTTCACTCTTCCTCCCACCTCCCAGTTGTTGTCACCCTTAGACAATTTTTCTTCTTGTGCCACCGAAGCCAAAAGCATGTAGTCTTTTCCTTTAGCACTAGGTCATTTTCTTGATTTCAAGGAGCCTGCAAATGTTAGCTGTGTGTGTGAGGTGGTTTTATTTTTGCCTTTTTGGTTGCTTTTTCTTGTGTGTGTGTGATTATGATCTTTGTTGTTGTTTGGTGTTTTGTTTTTTTTTTTTTCATTTGGTGGAAACAGTCTTGCAAAACTGGGTGGTGAGGAAACAAAAAAGGTGCTAAAGATAAGTCATAGAGTTCTCAGTGAAGCTTAATACTGTTTGCATGTACTACACCAAGAAACCTTGGTGATATATGCCACTAGGAGAAGAAAATGTATTTCCTCCTTTCTCCTTCTATGATCTATTGACCTGTCTGGTGGATGAGGGAAAGGATGTTGATGTAGTCTACCTAGACTTCAGCAAAGCATTTGACACTGTCTCCCACAGTGTTCTCATGCAGAAGCTGGCTGCCCATGGCTTGGATGGGTACACTCTTGGCTAGGTAAGGAACTGGCTGGAGCGCCAGGCCCAGAGAGTGGTAGTGAATGGAGCTAAATCCAGCTGGCGACCAGTCACAAGTGGTGTTCCCCAGGGTTTGGTGCTGGGGCCTGTCCTCTTCAATATCTTTATTGATGACCTGGTTGAGGGCATCGAGTGCACCCTCAGTGAGTTTGCAGATGACACCAAGTTGGCTGGAAGTG